AAAAAGATAATTAGTTGTAAAAAGACAATTATTTTATTTTTAAATAATAAATAATTTATTTTAAAAATTTAGATTTTTTTTTAATATATTTATTATCTTTTTAAATGTAAGTATATTTTTTTTAATATAAAAATTAATTATATTTTAAAAGATAATCATTTACATATTTCATAATAAAAATACTTTTATATATTTTTTTAAAAAAATATAAAAATACTTTTTTATATATTTTTTAATTTATACTAAATTTTTTTTTTTTTTTTTTTTTTAATATAAATAAAAGGTTTCAAGTGAATATATTCACTTGGAACTTTTATTTATTTATGTATTTTTTTTTTAATATTTTTATTTTTTTTTAAACAAAAAACTATGTACAAAATACCACATTCACTGAAGAAAAAGTAATATATTTTCGTTTTAAAAAAATTTTAATTTCATTTTATGTTGTTCCATAATAATACATCAATTGTCGTCAGTTGGCACATGTAGATTGACAACATGTCAAGTTCTTTGATATTTTTGTGTGTTTCTTATATTTATTAGATTTTCCCTAGCAGAAAAGTATATTGTAAAAAAGAAATTGCGTTGAAGAACATAATGTATTCCATTGCTCTCAAAATATTATGGTAACTTATAAAGATCCAAAAGATGCTATCTAATTTTCGCTAAAAGATTAACTATTAAAAGAAACAAAGATAATGAAGTATGTGATAATGAAATTCATCTATTATGGAAGTAGATTTTTTATAATTGCATTAAATATATTTATAGTGATTCAAATTGTAAACATTTTCTTCTTAATGACTTTTAAATTAATGATGATACCCAATTAGATGTAGTTTTAAAACTACATTTAATTGGGTGCGTGCAAGATTAAAATTTTTTTAATTAAAAACTCTCTTTTAAAACTTGATGGTAACACAACATGACCAAGAAAGATCAATAGATAATGCAAAGGATGTACTGAAAATATTTATTGTACAGACTAAGTTATTTTCGAATGTGTTGAAGTTTTAATAGAAGATTTATTTCAAAGTAATGCAATTAATCTTAATTGCAATCAAAGAATTTTACTTGAATATTGCACAGACGTTGGCTCAAAATGTAAAAAACAAGTGGTTTTACATTTTCTATACTACAACGTAGTGCAACACTTCTTTACTCTTAACGATTGTGGCCTAACAAAATATACATTGTAGTATCTTTTAAGAAATCATGCCAGGGCATGTAAGATTCAAGAATTTAATAAAACGCTCCTCTAGCAAATTGTTTTTAAAGCAAAATTCCAAATGACAATTAGCCATACTCTTTTTTAAGGATGTAAAGTTTTAAAGCGAAAATATGTTTTTTGTTTATTCCTTTTTTTAACAATACAGCCCAAATTTTATATTTGTTTTTAAAATATTGCATTAAATTAACTTTTTATTAATAGTTTATTCTAATAATTATTTAATAGCTTTTCGAATTTTCTTTTCGCTATTAAATGAGAAATTTCTCGTATTTACACAAAAATAGAATATTAAACTGCGCTGCAGATGTTTCAGTTGCTCTTTGATAAAAGAAATTTAAAACTGTTTCCCTTGCACTAAGTCTTTTTTAGTTTAAACTAATAAAGTTAAATATATATACTTTTTTACGTACAACTAATAATTTTCTTTAAGTTTCTAAATAAACTATTTAATTAAATATGCTATACAACGCCATGAATGGGCACCTTCAGACGGCTCACAGTGGGCCAGAAGGTGTTGGACGAAGGTAAAAAAAGTATATTTTTTGAAATTACATTTTACCATTTAGCTTTTATTTATAGCTTAAACCATTAGATAGCTTAAACATCCATCTTTTATAAAATGTATATACTTTTGTATAATTACATGACGTATACATGACGTATACATGACGTATGCTTCTAAGCTGTAGAATAAAAAGCTTTTAAAAAAAAAAAAATTCGAATTTTTTAATTTGAAAATATTATTTGTGTTACTAATAAGCATAAAAAAGTTGCTAATTTTAAAATCTCTTTCTTTTTATTGCATAATTTAATAAAATCAACTATTAACTTTCAAATGAGCTTTTGCAACACTATTTTGCTCGTAATGTCAAATAAAATGATTTTAAATGACGGCATATTTTAAAGTCGTTTTTCAGTTAAAACTTCGCTTATATAATCGTATACTTTTGTGGTCCAAAGTGGTCCAGTATTTTGAGACTTAAAATATATTGTTCAATATGAATATTATCATAAATAATTTACAATCCGTTTCATAATCCGCATTCAAATCGAATTTAAAAAAGTATGATTTAAATTGTCACGCAATCTACTTGGTTTTTTCACATCAACTCGTATTGAATTTTTTTTTTTTTTTTTTTTTTTTTGGTGCTACATCAGAGTAATTTAGTAATTACCTGTCTCAGCATTTTGTACATTTTTCAAATACAAATAAATAATAATAAAACAATAATAACTGTCTGTAATAATAGTTTTTAAAAGTTAAATGATGTATCTGATTTTATGTGGTGAAATGTGTATGTATTTTATTCTAAACGGTTGCGTAATAATTAAGTTTCACTGAAACTTAATTATTTATATATAATATATAAATATAGTTTCACTGAAACTTAATTATTACAAAACTTCTTTAAGTTTCACTGAAACTTAATTATTACGAAACCTAAACAAGTTTCACTGAAACTTAATTATTACGCAACCATTTAGAATAAAATATATACACATTTCGCCACATAAAATCAGATACATCATTTAACTTTTAAAAATTATTATTACAGACAGTTATTATTATTTTATTATTATTTGAAAAATGTACAAAATACAAAACATTCAAAATATTAAGATTAGATAACTTCAATTACTATATATAAATAAATGTCAATACTTTTCATATTTTAACTATAAAAGAAATGTACTACATTTGCAAAATATTATAAATATATTTTAAGTTGTATTAAAATTAAAAAAAGTTTGACATACTAATCTGACTGAAACTTTCAGTAAGATTAGTATGTCAGTGTTTTTAATGACATGAACTTAACTAAAAATAATAACTTGTCGAATTTCATAAAGCATCTTTGACAAAGGTAGTATATATGCAAAAGCTCTAAATTTCGTTTCAAAGAGATTAACAAACATTGGCTACAAAATGAACCGATATCGGTTCAATTTGAAATTGATAATAAGAATGTTCTTCTAACTGCTTCCATTGATAATAAGAATGTTCTTCTAACTGCTTCCATTGATAATAAGAATGTTCTTCTAACTGCTTCCATTGATAAAGATCTGCTCTTATCCAACTGTAGTATCAGACCCCCGGTTTTAGTTTGCGCCAAGATGGTAAAGAAAAATAACTAAAGCTGTTTTACAATTGTCAGAATATATGAGTTTTGGTTTGAAAAATAATTTTAAACCCAAATTATTTTATTATTATATTTTATATTAATTTGTAAATAATAACATAAAAATCTAAGATATAATATCTTAAATCTTTATAATATTATTTGAAAATTAATATAAATTATAATAATAAAATAAAATATAAGGTGGGGCGGAGGGCGGTGGAGGGATTGGTGGTATTGTGACGACTCATACGAAAGTTGTTACCAAAGAGTTATGAAGTTTTGACGAGGGGGGGCGGAAAGAGTAAAAAATATTCAAAAGTTGCGTGACCTAACTTGTGGACGACCCCAATACACAAAACATTTTATGCTTTAGGTTCTTATTTATATGGATTACGAAGAAGTTTCATGAAATATAAAATAGAGCCTTGGAACTGCATAAAAATACTTAAAGCTAGTAATTGAGTGTGTTTAGTTTTTGATGCATAAAATAATTTTCAATGAGACTGCCACATTAATATTAGTCTAGTTTATAACTTTAATAATCACAAATGTTACTGTTTAAAATAAAATAAAATCAAACTTGACATGAAAATACTAAACTAAAATTAACTTAATAAATTACAAACAAAATACACTAGGCAACAAAATTTTTTTTTTTTTTTTATGTATCTTTAGTAATTTTATTCAAATTATACTAATTTTGGAAAAATGATAATGCAAAGATATTGACAATGAAAACTTTTTTATTAGCTTTAGTTTAATTTTTGGATATTTTTTTCCTAAATACCTAAAAGTCTGTCCTTCTTTGTTCATTTTGTAACAAAACTTTTCATTAAACCCAACTTAATATATAATGGTGGAAGAAGAACATCTTTTGGATCCACGAGTGGTACAGGAATAACATTTTTTTTATCTGTGTTGAGATTTCTTGCAGGCCAGTCTTTTGTTATACAATGTGAACTTTGGTCTCTACTGTTCCACATACACAAAAAAGCAGCATTATTCCGTTTATCCTAATTGCATTTCTGAAAGTATAACAATAACTTTTAGATCACCACAAATTTTCCATTTGCGTTCATTGTTATTAATTAAGTTGAAGAAAACTTTCATGCTTATCTAAATCTCTTTCATGTGAACTGCATGGCAAATAGGAACAGAAGGAAGACAGTTTCTATTGTACAGCAATACAGCTTTTAAACTTAAGTTAGATGAGTCGTGAATAATCTCCATTCAGTTGGATCATATTTCAAGTAAAGACAATTAATCCAAAGATTAAGACATTAATCCAAAGACATCCAAACAAAAAGATTATTTTTCTTCTCAAAAAAATTTGATTCTGCCGTTTTTTGTAATCTAAAACCTTGACATCAAATTGGAGAAGATTCTACTGCTTTAGTCTTGACCCTAGAAGCTCTGCCTTTTCTTGTGACAAGTCCAGATCTTGAACAAGATCACTTAATTCTACTTGAAATTAAACCATACAGATGACTGCTATTTTCTGCTTGTCAAGCAGAAATAGCAGTCATCTTTATGGTTTTTAGGCTCTTTTTATACCATAGGAAAAGCAAAAGCCAAAGATCTTTTTTTATTCTTTAACCATTCTCGTAGTGTAACCGAACAAGAGTTACAGCATATATGTGGAGCCTATGACTTATTCTGGTCCCCTACCTTCATATCGAAGTAATGCTGGTAAGCAGTCTTCACAAAAGGTGTCATAGTTCTTTTCTGTGAGGAAAATGTTATTTTACTACAAATGTAACAAAAATTATCCACTAAATTTACACACTTCCTTTGCATGTTGATTTGTCGAATTTTAAAGATTTTTAAGGGTTTAGATCGGTAAGTTCATTAATAATGCCTGCAATAGAGAAATCCAAGTTGTGATTATAAATGCATTTAGGTTTAACATTACTTTTATTTAAAATTTGAAAATTTTTGGAGCTTTTAAGAGTAAACATAGATTTGACATGAGAGTTCAGAAGTTTAAGTACATCGGGAAGAGTTTTAGTAATTTTCCCAGAAGCATTTTTGAGAGAACGAATTTTATCTTTAATTTTTAGTTGGCTGTTAATGTATTTTTAGACGAGTTTTGGGTTGTTCTAAAATTGTGATATTATTTCTTTTTCATGTAATATTTTTGCTTTAAATATTTCAGCTTTAACGGAACAATTAAGACGATTGTAATTTGTTTTGAGATCTTTATTCTTCAATTTAGTTAAGCAGTTGATATGCTGAGCCGATTTTTTTTCTTGGATCAAGCTTTTAATCTGTGGAGTAACCCAAGGATTATACTTTCTTCTTTTTTTTATTAATCTTGGGGATAAAAGTTTTGCAAGCAGTACAATAATAAGAAATTATTATATTGAACATTTGATCTGCATTTTTGTATAGAAATAAAATATCCCAATCGATTGATGCAATAAAGTTTGATATTGAATTATAATCACCTTTGTTGTAACTAAACAACAATGATTTGTTTTGGGGTAGCGGTTCTAAAACTAAGATTCTCCAAGTAATACTAAAGTGACGCTTAGTGTTATTATTAGGAGATAAATTTAAAATATAATTATTGTTGCAGGTAAATACATTTTTTGGGGAACCATAGGTTGTCTGGAAAATAGGCAATGTGATGTGTTGTGTAAAGAGGCTGTTTTGATAAATGCTCCAAAATTCATACTCGTTAAAATTGTTTGGATTGAAATATTTAATACTATGATTAGACCACTTTGTATTCATGAGGTTAAAATCACCAACGATCAAAGAGTCATCATACGGCTTTCTAGTAAAGCTATGAGGTAATTTGAAAAATTCTGAGAAATAGTTTATTAGATAGCATCATTTGAACATCATTTGTTTGCAAAAGACTCTACTTTTCCTATTTTTAATCGCTACCAATTTGCTCGAAAGAATTTCCTCAAAGCCGTTAAAGTAGCTAAAAAACAATAGGCTATAATTAACAATACATAAAAATTGAAAAACTTAAAAACTCTAACCCAAAATTTTCTGGAATACTTTTAGGTTTATAAAAAGGATTCAAATTTAAAATTTTTTAGAATCCATCACCGCAAAGTTTGCTACTATTTTTGGAAAACGATTAATCACTGAGATAATAACTAATGGATTTACTAATCTTCAAATTCCACCTTGTAAAAATCCTGATGAGATGTTATATACTGATGAAAATATTAAAACAGCTATTTCTTATCTAAAATCTAACAAGTGCAAGGATCATTACAATATCTCTGCAGAACATTTAAAACATGTCAAATGTGACGGACTAACACGGACTAATGGTTAAGAAAACTATTTTACTTTTCAATTAATCACGAATGGACCCCTAAATCAATTTCAACCTCAATTATTATGCCTCTAGTTAAATCCTATAAAAAATCACTTACCGATCAATTACCATTATCAGCATTATTCCAATATTTACAAAATTTTTAGAATACCTTATCTTACTCATATGCCCGGAAAAAGAAACTCAATAACTTCGATTGGGTTTTAATAATAATAGCTAAATCCTCCGTGCTGAAGGTTTTGTCAGCGAAACAATTAAGCATTTGTAACCGCAAAAGTTCGCATATTTATTTATGTTCACTTGATGCTGAAAATGCTTTTGGCAGCTGCAACTGGGATATTTTTTTTAATAAACCTTATTTTAATAAAAATCCAAATAATTAATACTACGTCTTTTTTATACCGTAGCGGCAGTGCAACTGTCTTATACCTAGGTTCCAAATTAGTCTCATTTGATGTTGAGTCAGATAAGGATCGATTCTACCGATATAACATAAACACTGAAAAGCTACTCGAAGCTATAAAAAATGATGTCATTGTCGGTACACCTATAAATGGAAACTTGACTGGTGTTGTAACTTATGCTGATAACATCATTCTTCTTAGTTCTACTCTCTCGGGCCTAAAAAACTTATTACAACATGTAAAATGTACAACTACTTAAATGATATACAACTTATTGCTATCAAAACGGAACTTCTACTCTCCGGAAAAAAAACAAATAACGAATTGCACAATATCCCTAGACGACCATCAAATTAAACCTTATTAGAAACTTAGTCATCTCTGCTTTACTTAGAATAAATAAAAATTAATTTTTGCTTTACTTAATAGAACGAATATTTACGGTAGGGTATCAAATTTCCAGGTAATGGTGCATACTTCGATTCAATTTGGGATCCAGTTAGCATATCCAGAGCCTATTATCCAATTATATAAATCATTAGCTGTTCCGACGCTAATCCATGGTCTAGAGCTTTGTGAAAAAAAAACAATGAAAAGACTTGACAACAATGAAAAGACTTGACACACTTGAAAAGAACGCAGTGAAATTGCTTTTCAATGTCTCCCAGTATGGTAAAAACTATATACACTCTCTATTTAAAATTAAGGAGATGTCAAACTATATATACCATAACAAAATAAATCTAATTATGCTCCTTTTAAACAATAAAGTAACCTTTAAAATTATCAACTCCCAACTTAACTACTGTTCAGTTAAATCTTTTTTTAAAAGAATTATGTGATATTCTTAAACTGAATATTAAAACCTTAATGCTGGTTAAAAAACAAGTAAAACTTAATGACTCAGAGAATGTAATTTCGAAGCTACTCTTCTTAAATGATTCTTAAATGATACTTTTTTTTATCTCTCTTTTTTCTTAGTTTGTGTTTTACCTTGCAAATATATTTTAAAGAAGGTGATTAACAAAACAATATATATATATATATATATATATATATATATATATATATATATATATATATATATATATATATATATATATATATATATATACATATTAAAATTTATTTATTTAGTCCCAAGATAATAAAGATTCGTTTTATTGTCAGTAGTTTTTGAATGAATATGTCAGATTTCAAGAATTGTATTATAAGATTCTCATTTAGTTTTATAATAAATAATATAAGCCAAACATATCTTATTTTTAGCTATTGTGTAAGTTTTATAAAACAATTAACAATATTCAGGCACGTGCTGAAGGGTATTTTATAAAAAGCTCATGATAAAATCTCTATGCTGCTCATGATAAAATCTCTATGCTGTTTAAATTATATAATCATACACAGTATGATTGTATCATACCACTGTAAATGTACACAGTCCTGTATTACATGACCGTAGCAACAAAATAGGGATTGTGTGGCCAACCAATAAAGCTTTCTATATGCTCTAAGACAAAGCTCTGTAGAGGTTTCATGAAACTTTCTCTGTTAAAATCATACTTTTTTTTTTTTTTTATTTTAATTCACCTCCTCAAGGCCGAGAAGGCCACTACAGACGAGGAGGCTACTTATTCGTGGCTATAACCCTCTCTCAACTCTATAACTCCGAAACACGAACCTTGACGAACAAGGCCGCTGCGCGGAGAAGCGAGTTGAGCGTGGTACTACCAGGGACGTGGTGGGAATTGAACTCGGAACCACTCGTTTATGAAGCAAGCGCTCTACCACTACACCACTACCGCATACTTAGCATAATTAAAAGAATTTAGGCACAAATTTTTTACAAAAATAACTGTTTTTTGGTTCGTAGCAATTTATATTAAATATTATTTATTTGTAAATGTTTTTGAGGTACTGTTATTTTTATTTTTTGGATTTTTAAAAGAATATTATTATAATTAAAAATTTGATTTTTTGTATCTGTAAAGTATCATTTTAGCCTAAAAAAAGTTCATTTTAAAAGTAAAATAATTTTTGAATAACTAGTTGTCAATTTCTTAAACAGAAAGAACACAGTACAAGGTAGACAGCGAAATAACTCATTTTGAAGTTAATATATAGTTTAAACACTAGGAAAACAAAACCTCCACCTTGGTGCGATAAAGATGACTGCGATTTCTTGAAATGAGTCACAATAAAATTACTCGTTTTTAATATTTCAATCCGTTTGCAAAAACCGAAGAAAATAGAGTTAGGAGAAAATGTTTAATCCATAAGTGTGAAGATCTTCACACTTCGAAGCATAAACATAAAATTTAAAAAAGGGAAATTAAGTGTTAAGTAGATAAGAAATCTTTGCTTTTTTTGTATTATAGCGTGTTTAAAATAAATTTAGAGAATTTATTAGCAACCATTATTTAAAAAGTCACCGGCTGCGATTTACCAATTAAACAAAATCATCGACTATTGGCATCAGATGCGATGAGAAAAATAACATGAAAACTAGTTAACGGAGCTGACTAATAGAGAAATTTTTACTAAAAAAAATTATTGGAACGGTTAATAAACAGAGCCTAAATAAAAGAATTAGAATACCATTTACTTTCTTCCGTTTTAAAACCGGCCGTTTAAAGCTTTTTTCTTAACGGACGCTCAATTTCTCCGTTAGTTTACTGGAGATATGTGAATACGGCTGCTGTTTTTTAGGTTGCTTATGTATTTTTGTGGGCTGCTTTTTTCTTTTTTTGTTTTCAGACATGTGTATTCTTATTTTATTTTGTGTATTATGTTCTTCGGGCAGTGTCGTGTATTGTCATATTTACTTGTGCAATGTTTGTATTGTTCTGTATTTTTTTTTCTTTTTAGTTTGTATAATGTTGGTCAGACATTTTTAATGCTGTATATATTTTTAAAACTGTATTTCTATATGTGTATATATATAGATTTTTATGTAAGTGTATGTAAGCGCGTATGTGTATTTCTGTATGCAAGTGAATGTGTATTTGTGTATACATATGTGTGTGCGTGTGTGGGTACATATATGTATATATGTCTATATGTAAATACATCTATATACTTACAAATACAAATATACACACAGATTTCAAGGAACTTAATGTAAAAAATGTTCCAGATGACAAGGTTTGTACAGACTTATTATAACTATTACATGTCTCTGGTGAGTCTGTAAAAAATTATGAAGCTATACTTTTTTCAAACCTTATATTTGAAAAAGCAGATACTTCAAAGGATTTAAATAAATCTTGTAAACAACCACTGGCCTTTGGTCTGCGAAATTTTTGTGCTACACCAATATTTGCTCATAAAGCAACTAGTGAAAAAATTAAAAAGTATTTTTCCAAACATAGAGATGGACGTAAATGACGTTAATTATAAATTTGTAACTTACCACCTTTGTTGTCAGTTGAAGATGCTATAACTATTGAGAATGAAACTTTGGGTCAGTTTAATAACAGTGTCTGGTTTATTGAACGAAGCAAATGGTTAAGTGCATCTAACTTTGGTAATGTCAAGAGAAGACAACATGTTTATCTTACATCACTAATTAAAAAACTATGTTGGACACAGTTTGAAATCTTCTGCATGTAAATGGGGTATTGATAATGAAATTGTGGCCATAAAAAAATATAAAGACCGCTTCCAGTGTCAAATTAATCCATGTAAATTTGTTTATTTATTGTTTATTTGTTAATCCTAAATAGCCTTGGTTTGCTTGTAGTCCTCATAAGTTAGTTTTTGATGATAAAGTTTTAAAACTAGTTGAGATAAAATGCTTTTTTAGTAAAAAGGATACACCTATTTCTTTGGCTGGTACTGACAATCATTTTTCTATGCATATTGTAGATGGAATCCCAAAGGTAAAGATTAACAATCAATATTACTACTAATGTCAAAGATTTTATTTATTTCATTGTTTAGATTCTAGAGGACATGTTTGTGGAGAAAATTGAGTTTGATAAAGACAGATTGGACAGTTTTGTCTACGCTTACAATATTTTATTTTTAGTATATGTCTGCTGATATTTTTAAAACTATATAAATATTTTAAACTTAATTAATTGAATTATAAGAACACAAATAATTAATTGAAACCTTTATTTTTTTATCTAACTCTAAAATTAGTTATCTATTTTATTTACAAATACCTTTTTTTCTAATTTGTCATCATCAACTATAAGTGTATGTGTATGTCTGTGTGTGTGATTGTGTGTGTGTGTGGGGGGGACTCGGTAGGGGGTGGAGAGGGGTATGTTATGTGAAGTAATAGTATTTTATAGAATTATATAGCAGTATGTTTGAAATCTGTCCTGCTTACTTGATAAAATTCCATTTCCATATCTCTGTCTTTGGAAATAATAAGAATATACTTTATTATTATAGGAAAAAAAACTTTCTTATAATAAACATAATAAGAAAGTTGCTTTTATTTTAAAATATTATGGCACACAATAATAATTCCCTGGTTGTTTTTTTTAATATTACTATACGTTTAGACCAGTAAAATAAATAAAAATATATATTTATTATTTTTGTTGCGTCAACTACGACTTCCATTCTTTAATCTTACATTTAAATCAATTATATGCAAGTTGAAAATTTCTATAAAATTCAATGCTTTGCTGCGGCATACATTTACCACAATGCATTGCGAAAAATAGCTATAGTAGGAACGGTGAGTTGAATCCACGGTGCTCTGTGATAAAACCGTAAGGACATCTTGAAGCGCATAAATAGAATTAAAAAAACAAAAAAACATATTGATTGATTGATTGCCGCCTTCGTGCAGCGCACGAACTTGCCATCCTTAAAAACTGGGGCTGCTAATTATTGAGTTTTTAACTGTTTGTTTGCTCAAAAAGTGCGGTCAATGCAGCGTCAGTTTTTTGTTATTCTGCTGAATATTATTTTCTAGAATGAAGAATTTTGTTACAGTGTGGTAAGAAAAAATAAATATTTTATGCCTCTTTATATGAAAAAATGTCTATGATCTGATAGACGTTTAGGAAGCCTTATAAGAAATGAACAATTTGACTATTCAAAAATATCATTTGAAAATATACAAACATTTGAAAATATACAGAGCAAAAAAAAATCAGTAAAACTCCAAAATGAATAATTAGTCAAAACATTTAATAATAGCTAAACAAAAAAATTTAGATATTTTATTTTTATTCGCATATTTCTTTTCATATAGAATCATTTCTTCAAAATACCATACCAAAATATATTTTGGGTAATTATGGTTCACCTGTAATAAGTTTAAATCCTGCAAATGATAGCAGTTGCGTGCAAAATTGCTGGAAAAAAATTGAAAGTGGAACTTTATACGTGGGAGCAGTTATAAATCACGATAATTCAAATTGCTTTTGTACTGTTACGCAGGCTGGACTACCATTAGTTATCGTCGGGAATCGCAGAAGTCAAAATTTTCTACGTAAGATTTTTATGGTTGCAAATATTTGGAATTTCAGTGGACTTATATAGACAATTTAAACGGTGCACTGTAGTTTTACTCATCACCTTCTTAGTACCATTAGTTAAAAAAACGCCAAAAGTGGTTAAAATATGACTAACCATTATATCACGTGTTAGAAAGTTATCGGCTAGCCATTTATAGTGGATACCACTAATAGCCCTCTAATTAACCAATGAGCAAAACTACAATGAATCGTTCAAAATTTGTTTATAGACCCACTGTAAATTCACTATAAAAATGTTTGCTGATATTATTTTTTATAGTATTTGTAGTCAACAATATATATTAAATGAGTATGAAATATTTTTGTGTAAACAATTCATCAGGCTTGATGCTATAAAATAGAACAAATGAAATTAAAACAAATAATGAAAAAAAAATTTTTTTCTTTAAAATTTCTTTCCTATAGGAACTACAGTTGGTTGCCAAATTATTAGGAACAGTTTACATTTTTTGTAATTTTAAATTTTTTAATGGACTTAGCGAATAAATAAATAACTTGCATTTATTGTTTATTGTATTGAGGGCTTTATTTAGAACATAAAACAACATAACCACTTAATAATAGATTTTTTTTTTTTTAAAGTTTAACACTTTTAAAAAAAACTCTTAACAAATTAGGTAATAAATTTAATATTTTGTATTACCACCCTTTGCTACGATAACGCCTTTTAGGCGTCGGGGCATGCTTTCTAAGTAGACCTTTGTGTCGTGCAGAAAACTAGATTTTTTTGGCTCTCTCTAATAAGAGTTTCTGCCAACTGCCACTTTTTAGTGATGGTTTTTCTTGCCATTTTCCGTTTTGTGAAGATTTTACATAAGGTTCAAATCAGTTGGATGCCCCTGCCAAGGCAAAACGTGCACGTTTTTTTAGCTAGGAATGTTGTAACACTTAAAATTTTTGGAATAATGCCGAGTTGTGCATGAATATATACTCTTATACAGGGACCCATTCTTGGAACTAAAGCAGTAGCCTATTTTCCAATACCCGCTTGTATTGTTTCTGCCTCATGGCCCTTGTCACTATGTAGAGACATCCTATACCCTTGGCTAAGATTACAGACTCACAGGATGTTTAACGTTTTCCAAAAGGTACTCCTGATGGAATTTTTCTCCTGAACATCGTTAGACAAATGAGCTTTTGTCTACGAAAATTTTTCAGGGTTTTTAAAATATTATATGTCATGTTTATTCTACTTCAGTTTTCAATAAGCATATTCTGGAGTTGTCAAGCCAATTCCATTCGCTTTTTTTAATATAGTTTTATTCAAATGTGGTTTTTTGGGGTTTGACCACTGCTTAATAAAATACCTTCAGCCTCAAAACCGTCCTTTTAGAGACTTTAGTTCTTTCATTGTTGTTAGGTGAGCCACACTTTCTTATTGGTTTTTAAGACAGATGTCACTGGTTTACCGGTCATAACGTTGAGTGATTCTTTTTCTTCGAAAACATTGAAAGTATCAAAACTGATACCGAAACTTGCAATTGCTGCTATCTCTCTGAGAGAGAGTGTGGAACTAAGAATAAAGGTTTTTACTTCCCTATATTTTCTTGGGGTTAAGTGTGAAGACTCTATCATTCTAAAAACAAACAATGAGAGGTTAGAGTGATTACAAATCAGGATTTTTGCATTAATATTAGCAAAAATAACAAATTATTAAACATGACTAATCAAATTGTTCACCAATACTTATGTTTTTGATAGTTCTAAACTCGAAAAACTTGCAAAAAAACTTTTCCGAAAATTAATAACTGAACTCACTTTTAAGCTCACTCACTTTTGACTCGCAATAACACTTTTTACCAACTGACACCTAAATGAGAAATAAATAGACGCCTAAATGACAAGACTGACTATAGTGTTGCCACATTTAAAAACAATAATAATGATTTCAGTTATTAAAGTACACAGGAAAAATTGTTTAAAAAAAATTAATTTGTTCTCAAAATTTTAAAACTACAAAAAAGTAAACTGTCCCTGATATAAATAAAATTTTTATAATAAATTTACTATATAACATTTAGTTTCAATTTTTCAACCATTATCTGCATCTTGTTTTATTGGTTCGTATATAAATTTTCGAGTTCGAATCAGTTTTTATCTTGAAGGAAATGATGAGAGTATGTTATATTTTATTGATGATCTCAATAACTCAATGAGCTATTCAGCAAGGATAATTATTACACAAATTATAAAACCTGAACGAGTTTTTCATACGTCTATATCAACAGAAAGAAATAATCAGAGTAAGCTTTATTCTTCAGTAAAAGAAACATATTCTGGAACTCTAAACTCTAAGTTTGAAAACCTTTATCTTTTAGAAACAAAGGTGAGTTTTTATTTTTTACTTGTATGATATATGAAGATACGGGGGGGAAAACAATGAAAGTCCATTTTTCCAAAAATGAGTTAAGGACACCACTTTGTCGCTTGTAAGATACAGTATTCAAATACGAAATGATTAATAGGAAACAACGATGAGAGTCGAGTTAAAAATACAATCAAAGATATATATTTGTGTTACAATCATCACTTTTTATGAGACTGTAAACCTTGTTTTGCGTTTTACAGAAAATTAGTAAATTGTGACTCTTATCGTTTCCCCCCCCCCCCGACCGTTCATATATTAGATGAGATTTTGTTTTTGAGAAAATCAATTTGTTTAAAATAGATCGGTGATATGTCTGTGCCATATAATCACACGGAATGGGCTGTACTGATTTATTCCACTAGTAAATCTTTGTGGGTAACATTAACTTCATTTATTATACAGCGACCTGTAAGAAAATGTAGTCTTATTATGAAAGTTTCAAACAACACTTTGAAGTACGTTAAAAATTATAATTTTTACTTTTTTTTAGAGTTGCTTTTATATTTCTTAAGTAAAAATAAATTATATAAAAAGTTTTTTTAGGCTACGCATATGAGTAAAATTATAGCATTTTTATTGCAGCAAAAAAAATTATCAGTGCGTACTTATACTAAATCATTTTTAAACGTCTAAGAACGTCTAAGAAACGTCTAAAAAAAGATTAAGAAACGTCTAAGAATACAATAAAGCATTTAAGTTGCTTCGTTTTAAAGGTTGTCCGGTGCATCTCACTAAGCGCGCTGCTGCTTTTGACTTGTGAAGTAAAAGTTAGATTTAATTGCTTCTTATTTTCAGTCAAAGTTTGTTTATTAACTTCAACATGTCAACTAGCGCTGACTGTGTCGTAGATCTTGAAAACGTTACGATTATTATTGAACACCACCCAAGATTTAAACTTAATGGACTAATATGGGATTATTTGAGTATTAATCCGACATCACTAATTAGTCATGGTAACTTTGATCTTATTTATGTAAGTATAAATTGTAATATTTTTCATTTATTTATATTATTTAGTATATATATTAATTTTTATTCATAAAGATGCTCTCATGTAATGCTTTTGGTGGTGTACATGTGGCATTTGTATGGTGTTTGTATGGTGCCTTAAACTTTCTTGTTAAACCTTTTTTATTTTTTGAGCGTCAAAACTGTTTGCTAGCGTAAATTTAATACTATCAAAATTCTGTCGAATTATTTTCTTTTTTCAGATGTTTACATATTTTTGTAGTTAAGAGTAACTTTTTATAGATGTTATAGATCATTTGGCGTTTTTTGGCGTTTTGTTTTTTTTATCGTTTGGTTTTTTTCCTCTTTTTATATAGCTTAATAGTTTCTAAACCAGTTTTGAATCTATTGAAGTACTTATTATTATAAGTACTACTTAAATATTCATTACTTAATTAACTTATTATAAATTAATAACTATATCAAGATTTTCTCCACAAAAAAAAAGATAGTACATGTTCGAGTTTCAATGTTATGTATGTAATTCACTATGGAAACCATTTGCTAAAATTATTAAAAAATATTTATTAACTTATGCAGCTGTTGCAAAACTTTTATTTTTTAAGTTTATGTCTAAGAAACAAAGAAAAGATAAGAGTGACTTCAATAACCTTAATTTACATTAATATATTTTAGACTAAGTGATTCCTTAAATTAGATTATTATATACTTTTTTTCATATATTTTGCAATTTAATCGCTCCAGATCATGTTGCTTTTTTATATATTTTTTGACATATTACATCGCCGATTGTGTTGAGAATACTGTTTCCTAATTTACTTAATTAAAAACTAGTTGTAACAGTATTCTCAGCGAAACGTGACCATCAACTTTTATATTAAACATTAATTAGCCCAAAATAGCTAATGATAGAAGTGTAAGTTCATTGTTTCGATAGTTCACAATTCTTACAAAGGTAAAAAATAAAAAGCATGATTTTAAGGTAAAAAACATACTATGCTTCTTAAACGATAATTACGAAAGCCTATTTATTGAAATTATAAATAAAAAACTTCGAAATGTTTTAGTTGGATGCGTTTATCGTCCACCAAATGGTAAAATCTAATCATTTGAAACTTTTATCAAAAATACAATTAAAAAAATAAAGAAAGAAAATAAAAATTTATACATTATTGGAGACATAAACCTTGATGCTCTAACTTATTCAAAATTTCAAAAAATAAAATCTTTTTTCGATATGCTTTTTAAATTTAATGTAAAGCAATTAACAAGCCAACACGAGTGTCAAAAACTTCGGCAACGGCAAATGACAATATTTTCATTAATAATTACCTGGAAATGGATTTTGAAACAGGGATATTTATGACTGATATTAGAGATAAATTTCCGGTATATATAAAAGTAAAAAATTTAAAATCTATGACTGATTGTGAACCAAAAGTTACAAAATTGAAAAAACGCAATCTTAAAACAAGTAATACTAATGAATTATCAATTAGGCTAAAACAAGAAACGTGGTCCATCGAGTATAGATGTCAGGAAACTAATGAAACTTTCAATAATATTTTAGATATATTCCTAGATTGCTTTAATGAAACCTGTCCTTAAGAGGACATACAAATTAGGACAAAAGTAGTTGCTAATCCATGGATGGATAAAACACTGATAAAATGCTCTAAAAAGTAGCAAAAGCTCTATAATATTTTTAAATAACAACACTGATAATGAGATAAATTACAAAAGCTATAAACATTTTTACCAAAATCTTATTAAAAAAATTAAAATAAATACTACAGTAATGAAAAACATAAAATGCAAATCTAATAGTAAGAAAACGTGGTCCATCATTAATGCGATAATGGGAAGGAAAAAAAATAAATTCAACTTCTTTACCAAAAAGAATTAATATTAACAATACAGACATATTCTGTCAAAAACAAATATCCGAAGAATTTAACAAAATATTTTTTAAATATTGGTCCAAGTTTTGCTATAAAGTCCAACATCTGATTTATTTAAAAACTGCCCAAAACCCACAAATAACGCTATCATGTACGATAAGGAATTCATTTATAAAGAATTTGAAGAAGCCTTTTCCTCTTTAAAAAAAAAGAAAGCACCAGTATTTGATGAAATAACTAGTGATTTAGTTATCTTTAATAAAACTAGTCTAAGCAGACCTCTGATCCATATACTTAAGCTCTCAAAAACATCTGGGATTTTCCCTGATGTCCTTAAATTAGCAAAAGTAATCCCCATATTTAAATGTAATGAACATTTGGGCATAACTAACTATAGACTTATATCAACACTTTCTGTATTTTCAAAACTCTTCGAACGTGTAATTTATAATATAATCTATAATCACTTCACTAAAAACAAATTATTTTACCCAAACCAGTTTGGATTTCAAAAAAACCTTTCAACAGAGCAATCAATCATTGAATTAGTTAATCAAATAACTGATGTTTTTAAACAAAACAAATTTACTTTAGGAGTTTTTAAAGACTTGTCAAAAACTTGTCTTTGGTACAGTTGACCACTACATTCTATTAGATAAACTAAAGCACTATGGTATAATTAATAAAACTTACAATTGGATTAAAAGTTATCTTAACAATAGAAAACAATATGTGTATAATATACAATCTGGAGTATTAAATGTTTTATGTGGAGTCCCCCAAGGATCTATCCTTAGTCCACTCCTGTTTTTAATTTTTTGCAATGAATCTTTAAAACTGAATTCAGTCATGTTTGCCGATGATACAAATCTATTTCTTAATAACAGTAATATCAAGAAATTATATGCAGATATGAATATTGAACTAAATAAAGTAAATAATTGGTTTAGGGCTAACAAACTCTCACTTAACACAGAAAAAACAAACTATATATTGTTCCACAAAAAAACACAAGAAGAAAACCTTCCTTTTAAGTTGCCTGACCTTATATTAAATAATAACTTAATCAAAAAACAAGCCATTATTAGATTCTTAGGAATTCTTGTTGATAAGAAGTTGTTCTGGTTTCCTCAAATAAAATATATTCAATCTAAAATCACTAATACAATTGGTATGATGTATCAAGTTCGCTCATATATCAATAAACAAAGTCTTAAACTAATTTACTTTGAACTTATTCATTGCTTTATCAGCTTTGCAAACATATCATGGGCGAGTACGCAACCATCAAAACTCAGAAATATTTATAGTCTACAAAAATATGCGTGCAGAATCATTTACTATAAAAATAAGCGTGAACATGCTAAACCTATAATGAAAGATATGAAAATGATGGATGCTTTTGAAATAAATACCTATCAGCGTTTATTTTTTATGTATCAATTCAATAGTAATATCTCTCCTGCAAACTTTAATAACAAGTTTAAAATAAACATAAATAAAAACTATTATTTAAGAGCAAATATAAGTAACAAATATAAACTGCCTCAAAACTTTAACAAATATACTGAATATAGCATTGTATATCGAGAACCAAATATATGGAATAGTTATCAAAAAGGATTTAAATATATGGCAAAGTCATGAGGTTCATGTAAGTTTCTAATAAAAAAAAGAAATTTTTAAAATTTGAGAATCTTTTGTGCTTAAAGGAATCACCAAAGAATTTTATTTATTTTCTAATTTTTTATATTTAATCTTTATTTGATTTACTGATCAGTGCAGCATTTTTATGCCCATTAGGGTTTTTAATTTAATACTTATATTCAAATGGAAAGTGTATATAGAGGCTCTATCAAAAGATTGCAATGACGTCTTGTCATCTTCATCTTCTTTGAGCCCCTGTCTGTTTAACTCTTTATTTTATAAAGACTATTATAAAAAGAATGGTATATATTTTATACTGCATATACAAAAACGATGCTTGTTGACAAGATTTTACTGTCTTCTTTGTTTTACGGACATATTTTTTCTTTCTTGTATATATATTTGTTTGATTATTTATTGTTAAACAGCATAATAAATGTAAAAAAAAAAAAAAGTTGTAAAACTAAGCATCTTAAGAAGAATTTATTTATCATGGTAACTAGGTTTGGAGTAAATAGTTTGGAGTCTATATCTTAAAAATGAATATATTTTACTAAATGCATTATTTAATTAAATAATGCATTTAGTAAGAATGTAATTTAGATTTAAATCTAAGTTCTTTTTTTCTCTTTTGAATTCTATTTATATACAAAAAATATACAAAAGTTCTTTATTTCAGAATGACTTTTTAATGCTGAAAAAGTTTAATCACTAAACCTTTTCAAGTATTAACACGTCTTACAACCGGCTATTACTCGTTTTTTCAAACCATGTTCTTTTTTTTTCCAAAAAAAAATTATTGAAATTTTATTCCACTAAATAATTTTACAACCCTAAAGCTCAGTACTTATCTTTACTGTTGGAATATTTGTAGTGGATTTGCAGCGGAACTATAAAGGCATTTTCTTAATTAATGTAACATTAGTTGCATCTGCTATAAGTGGCCAGCCTATAACGTTCCAACATATGATATAAAGGTTAGCCATTGGCTAACTTTTTTTGGCAGCTGCCACTAATAGTCAACTAAGTAACCGATGAGCAAAACTACAGTGAACCGCTCAAAATGTCTGTATAGATCCACTGAAATTCTGCCATAGAATGTTTTTTATAGAATGTTTGTTATAGAATGTCTGTTAAAGAATGTTTGTTACAGAATGTTTGCTGAGAAGTTGCATGAAAGAATATTTGCAGAGAAGTTGTATAAAAGAATTTTAGTATTAAAATTTAATTATTTTAATTATATTTCATTATTTTCTCGAGGTACAAAAAATCTACATAGACTCGTTTTTAAAATTTTCTGTGAACTACGAGATTATTGCGCTTCCATTTGAATTTGGACAAAAGGTAATCTCAGTAATAGCAACTATTCATTGCAATGAATACACAGATGATAAACCAATAAAGTTTTTCAAGCAAATGGTTTTTAAAAGAATTCTGGAATTAACAACAAAGAAAGGTTTTTTCGAATTGGTTTGATTTTTTTTTTTAATCGCCTAATAATTAAAACTTTAATTCAATTTTATAATCTTCTTACATAGCAATTACACAAGTCTATCCAAAATTTAACATGAAAAATGAAACAATGTTTGAAAATCAGACTCATCTATGTACGTGCATTCCTATTGAAAAAAGGTAACTTTTACATGGTTTATATTAACTTATGTTTTTTTGTTCCGCTTAGGTAATTGCTTAGTCTACGAAAAACATTTTTTTTTTTAATTTTTATCAACATTTAAGATATGATTAACACAAAAAAAGTTAAGTCATTGATATTGATAGGTGAGGAAACGCAGCTCAAACGTAGGGATTGATAGGTGATTGATAGGTGAGGAAACGCAGCTCAAAACACTGATCAATACAAAGAATAACATTCTGGACTTATATACACAAAATTATTTATTAGTTATATTTAAAAAAGCTAAATTCTTTAGGTGAAGGAAATGTTGCTTCTTTTAGTTTATTAGTTTATGTAATATCTTATCTATAATCTGTCATGCGATAAAGAGTAAGAAAAAACGGAATAAAAAAAAGTAAAATGTTTTTTAATAAAGTAAATTTTTTAATTGATTTTTAAAATACGTTCATGACGTCATCAGAATTGACAAGTGCGGGTTTTAGGGTTTTTTAAAATAGGGAAAATTTCTCGGAAATTTTCAACACGGGAAATTTTCCGGAAATTTTGGAAATTTTTTAAAAAAGATAAGTTATTTTTTAATTGAATCTAGTCATGCTAAAAAGGGATAAGTCACAATAATTGAAAAATAAGTTAATAACGATTATGATGTTTTAAGAACAGGTTTTAACTATTTATGAAAAAATTAAACATGTCAGACACTTGGTTACCACAATAACTGCAATTGATTGTGGAGCTGTCCATGCCAAAAGGAGTTGAGTCACTGACTTATATTCTTTTAGCATAAAAATTCCTATTATGCCGTTCATTGTTGTATATATTATGTGCTTATATCACCATACAAATCCTATCGAAGTTATGATAAAACAGCTGTTAGAAAGAGCACATTTGGCCACGCTAGAATTATATAGTTTTATAAAAAATATTAGTTTGGATTTATAAACTAAATTTTTTTGTAAAAAATACTTTTATTGTAACACCTTGTCTGATCAAAAGTTTTCACGAACTGACCGAAATAAATATAGTAAGAAAAGAAAAAATTCACCTCACCCCTTCTCTTTTATTAAAATACCCCTTTTTTTCTGTTTAACTTTATGTCTTATGTTCTTAGTCTTATGCTATTGTATTTTACTGTTTAGCTAAACCTAAATAAGAATTAATTTAATAAATTAACTTTATGTTTTGTGTTATTACTCTTATCATAAATAAGCATGGAAATAAATTCAGAAAAAAGTTTATTAAGAAAAAGTCAGCAAAGAAACGAAAAGCTGACCCAAGTCTTTGGAAGAGAAATATTATAAAAGTAGCTAGATCAAAAGGTGAAGAATTTGTTAACTACCAAGGAAATACTGTACCTCAAAAGTACCCTGGCTTACCCTGCAGGTAAATTTTTTTATATTCAATGTTACTGATAGTTTTACAATCTGATTTTACAGATAAAAATTGTAATAAAACGCAGTATAAAAGTATTTTTTGCTTTTTTTAGCTGTAAGAGGAACAACTGAAATATAATAAACCATTTTCATACCTTCAACACTAAATATGAGCAGTATTTTTTTCCTACAATCCTTGATTGATTCCCAAGAAATAAAGTAGAGACGAACCAGGAAGGTAAAGGGCTTCTTTTAAGAATAACGTTATTATGGGTTCTAATCGAATGCAGGTATGTTTTAAATCTTTTTTAGGTTTAAATGCTGTTATAAAAAAAACAAATTGAAAGATTGCAAGCTTTGAAAATGATTGGTAAAAACCCAGAGAGTAAAAGAAGAAGTCACATAAAAGAAGCATTGTCTGAAGAAACCAAACTTTTTATCAGACAGCACATTGAAAGATTTCCAACAAAGGAAAGTCATTACCTTGGAAAACCTATATGCTACCTAGATGCCACTTTAAATGTTAAAAATATGCAAAGGATGTTTAAAGAAAAATACTTGTCTTTAATAGTCGACTACTTTAAAGAAAACTATAATCTTTCTTTTGGAAGGCCACAAGTTGACATATGCTGCACTTGTGAAGAACTCAATTTAAAGTTAAGAAGTCCTCGTCTTAATGAGGTAGCAAAGAGATGTGCTCAATCTGAACTTGATGTACATAAATGCAAATCAAAAAAGTTTTATGATTGAATTCAAAAAGACGTCAATAACAAGGACAATAGTCAAATTTTATCGTTGTGTTTTGACTTTAAGCAGAAAACAAAAATCCCAAAAACACCAGTGCAAGAAACCTTCTATCTGAGGCAACTTTCAGTTAATGTTTTTTATATTAATAACAATAAAAGTAACAAAGCATACATTTTTATTTACCACAAAGGCATAGCAGGCAAGGATCCAGATATAGTGTGTTCCTTTTATTTAACTATTTAATGAAGGTAGAGAAACAGTTTACCAAACTCCACTTATTCTCAGATAATTGTTGGGCCAAATTAAAAACCATTCATTATCTAGACTACTTTTAGCCATGACTGATTTAAAGTGATTGAGTGATAGGGATTTTAGCATAATAAAACGAGAACTAAACCAACATGATAGGCTGTACTAAGTAGACCAAGTATGTGACCTTATGAAGACATCCATAAAAAATGATAAATTTGTGGTACAAAATGTTAAGTCCTCAAAAATTTCAGACTTCAAGACGTGATGGCCGCAATTTTATAAAAAAAGTTGTGTTTCCGATGAAATCGACGGTAAGCAAATTAAAAAGGACAAAAAGCAGTACTTTTCAATAAGCAAATTAATCCACTGCACATATGATATAAAATTTCCATCTAAGGTTATTAAACAACCTTTTATCTTTAGAGCAACTGACTGCCCATAACTTATTAAACTGCCTAAGTAAAGAAGCTTACTCTGCAGGAAAGATTGAAAAAATGGCAGACATAAACAACTCAACATTCCAGAAGAGTTTGAAAACTTTTATGCTGAAATTTATATGTGGCTAACAACAGAAGTTTTTAAAGTTGAAAATGATGATTAAGTTTTCTTTGCAGCTCCTATAAAGCTCCTATTGCTCATCTCAAACTAAAGAGATTTTTTTGAAGATAGTTTATATTTATAAAATTAGTTCTTTATACATAGGATCTTATGTAAATATTGATTTCTTGGTGTTTTTAGTAAATAACATTATTTTTTACACACATTTATCTGTCCTTTTTTCAAATATGCTAAAAGGGGATAAGTCAAGCAACTTTAATGATTTTTTTTTTGAATGAAAACATTGTAAATGTCATTAATCTAGTGTGTTTTATGATAACTAGGGAAATAAAGAATTTATATACGAAAAATTACATCTTTTTGAATAAAAAGTAAATATTTAGTTTTTTCAAAACTATTGTTGCTGACTGCTCCCCTTATAGCTTGAGCCGATTCAATTAATGGCTAAAATTTTATGTTTTATTTTGGCAATTGTTATGAACAATTTTATGATAATATATTGTGAACTAGATTATAAAAATTTTTTGAAAACCCCCTTTGAAGAACACTTTTTTGGTATTTTGTTGAGTTTTTTTATTATAACTTTTTGTAGCAACTATGATAAGTTGTTTTCAAGTTTTTTCAAAACTGTTTTACCCTGTTATTTGCTAGGCATACTGATGTTTATTACTGTAGAAAGCTTTGTTTAAGGCTAAACATAATTTGCACCCCAATTCCTAAATGATGATGGATGATGGCAATTATCAGTTTCTATTAAATTGGCTTACAATTCAAAAATGTTGTACTTACAATATATATTTATAAAAGTACTTACAATATATATTTACTGTAAATATATATTTTCTAGTAAAAGGTGTTGCATCTCTTCGTCAATATACTTTATGCTAATTTAAAGTATTATTAAATTACTAATTATTACATACAGTATTATTAAATTATTTTTTCAAATTTTATTTTTATTACATTTTTATAACATTTTTTATTATTCTTATTACATTTTATTAAATTACAGTATTATTAAATTACTTATTAGAGTAAAGTGTGTTTTGAAAGAACGAAGATGTGTTAGAGTGAAAGACAGAAGTAGCCGAGTTAGAAAGATAGCATAGAGAAAGCGGACATAATTGCACCCGATGTTAGAAGGTGCTAAAACGCACTGTTAGCTAGGTTCACCCAACTAATGTACGCCGACAAATGAGTTGATTGGAGTTCACTTAACATGAGCTCTTCCACAACTTTTTTTGTCGTCCATTTCCATTGCTTTTTTAAAAAATGCGCGATTCTTAAATTGATTTATTTGACTGTAAAAATTTGACTAAAAGATGTGTATTTTTTGCTTGTGGGTCTTTATTATTTTATATTTATGTTTGAAATATTTAAAGAATACCCAAATATTACGATGATAAAACATTTTTGAAACAAAGAAATAAATTTTATAAAATTATATAATAAGTATAAGTTTATTGAAAATAAAAAACTTCCCGGAAAATTTCCGAAAAATTTTTAACCCTACTTTAAATAATAGAACAACATTTAGGTAACATCTTTTTAGTTTTTTTAAGTAGAAAATACCCAATTGGAGAACAGCCAATTTTTATTTGGGCTATTTTCTACTATAAATAACGTGGTTATTTATAATCAGAACGTAAATGAGTGATATTTGAATTCAAATCTAAGAAATAAGTTATAAATAAAAACCAATTGTCAGTATGTATACAATCTAGGGTTAGGTAAATGTAAGTCAAAACATTTTTTTTTAGGCAGCAAAGTCCATGCTTTCAACTGGAAAAAAGTACTGGCAAAGTAATATGTAAGTTTTGCGGAATGCAAATTTCTTTTTAGATTTTTCTTACAGTATTAAACAGACTTTAGCTTAGATGTTTGAAATCCGATTTTGAAAGTTTTTTTTTCTTTTCAGATTTTCCAATTCACGTCATAGAAGTTATTGGTTACGATCCCTTGACAAACTTCTTTTACGGAAAAACATTTCGAGAAAATATTATTGAAGTTGATATATATGGTAAAAAACCTCTCAATATAATCACAAAAGATAAATGGATATCTGTTATGAGTTCGTCTAATTTCAAGTGAACAATAAATAAAATACAATAAAAGAGTTTGAATTAGAACCTAAAGTTTAGAAGAGTATATAAAATCTTTGCGCAATAATAATTCAGAGATTTTTTAAGAAAGATAAAAAACTTTAACAATTGTTAATAGAAAAATGTAGGACTGTTCATATGAACTGGGCTGGCCCGGTTAACCAGGCTGACTAAAAAAGTAACAACAAAAAAATAAATGTTTACGTTGGAATCTACATTTGGCGTTTTCATTATATTTTTTCAATTTTTTGTTTTTTAAACAATTTAGAATGTATTTGATTGGATTAAGAAATAGCATAATTTTTTTACTCAATCAGCTGGGCACTTTCATTTCTGTGCGTGACTTTTTATTTTTGATTGCTTTTACAATTAGAAGCTTGGACTTATAGAAATATCCACACCATTATGATTTTCTTAATGAACAACTCCAACAAAAAATTTTTCTTCATATTTTAGGGTGCCTGAATATTTATATAGATATATATATTTTGTCATTTTATTATTTTTGTGTTTGTTAATGTCGCAATTGTTTGAAAAATATACAATAATTTTTTAAATCTAATACTCTAGCTAGAAATATTTGATGACTGCTATTTCTCATCAAAAATATAATAAATACGAGTTGTAGAGATAATTCACTTGAAATTTTCACAAGCAATTTACTTTCATAAATATAACTACATGAAATCGACAAATTTGAAACTTTCGTGCGCTACTTCCGTGTGTGACCATAAAAACTGTATTTAAAAAAATCCTGTGACTCTATGATACATAATCCTGTAACTTTCTGGAAATCTTTATTAATATTTAAAATATTATTAAAAAAAAAAACAACTACTGAAACTTAGAGAAACTATAAAATTAAAGATTTTTCTTGTAACTAAAATTTTCATTTTTTGTTTTATGCGTGATTTCGCTTAAAACTCAAATTATTCTTTGATAAAATTACTAATGAACTCTTTTTGTTAACAAAATATTTATATAGGGAAAAATTAATAAAAGTAAATTAGAGATTTTTTATTAATATGAAAATAATAGACAAAACATATACGAGTTTTGTGCGTAATTTTTCAAACGTCATACATTTATGAGCAGGGCTGGCTTAATTTTTCGTGTTTATATCGTTAAATTGCTCCAGTGTAGGATCTCACTGAAAATAGGCAAGATCTCAGATATCCGGGTCATGTTAACTAGTTTAACTTTTGAAGGTAAATATTAAGCACGGAAAGATCTCGTTTAAGTGAGCTAACCAGGCTAGCCCGCTTCATATAAATAGCGTTTAATAGAGTTTTTCATTAAACACTTGGTTGTTAAAATGTAAGCAAGCCCATGTTTTTTTAAAAAATGGCGATAATTAAATTTAAAATCAATTAACAATCAAAAAGAAGTTTTTATTTTTCATTGATATTCATTTACATTGCTTGTTCAAGTGTAAGCGTGCGATTAAGTATAGAGTCTATAAACACGCCCAAGCAAAACGATATCTTTTTTTGAGCTTATACACTTTAATTGATGCATATTAATTTGAAAAAAGTTTACATAGGTTGCGGCAATGCCTGCACCTTTCTTTCCTGTACTGCAGTACAGTTTATAGCCATGCTATAAACTGTACTGCAGTAACAAGAAAGTCCAATGAGTTAGCGATACTAGCCCAAGTTTTTCAGTTACAAAAATAACATCGTATTTTAAAGAGCTAGTAATCGCTTCAAGTAAAAACAATTTTTGCAAATTCTTTCTTTTTTCATAGTAGAACAATAAAATTAACAAAAGAAAAAAAAAAAAAAAAAAGATCTTAAGAATCGAGGGCTTATTTTTTAATTATACATTTTTTTATTTTTTACAAACAAAAGAATTGCGTAGTGATAATAACCGAAATTATAGTTTATATTATCTGATGACTGAACAAAATAGATAAAATAGATTAAAGTGTTTGATTATTATTCAGGGCTAAAATGTTTTTACAAAGCTACGTTCGTATAAATAATTCCTAATTATAGATACAATATGGGTGTATGGAAAAAAAAAAAATTAATAATGGAAAATAACGCAAAAGTCTTTCAAAAAATTAATTCGACGAAGAAGCGAATACCAATAAAACAAATATAAGAAATAAATATAATTTATATATGTATAAAAAAAAAATTAATTTGTAAGAAAAATTTGTCGTTGAAAATGAATGAATACATGTAGCTATGTTTTGTAATAATTATCTACAGCTATTTCTCAATATTTAGGTTCATTTAATAGGAGATATGGCGAAAATATTAATTCACAAGTGCATTTTATTAACACCATGAAAAAAAAGGTATCTTGTCATGAAAACTTTGAACAAAATTATGACCACGTCCTTCACGGGGAACATCACTGGTAAGCCTTCTTCGTTGAACATATACCGGAGGCATTTGAACCAGTTGAGCGGGAGTTTTCCTGTCTCTAAGTGCTTGATTTAAATTTAAAATCTATAAATATAATTAAAAAAGTATTTTAAATTTGAGAGGTTTATTATACTCTTTGTTATTTATTTGAAATCTAAAATATCATTAAAAACTATATATAAAAAGCAGTATATTAAAATATTTATTAAGAAATGTATTTAAAATAATAAAAAAAAATAAAAAGAAATAGTGGTACAAAGTATAAATATTCTATTCTAAATATTCTATCTATTAAATTATAAATATTCAAATTGAAAACAAATAAAAATATATATATATATTTTTTTTGCGGTTATTAAGTTGCACCCAGAAGTCCTTACGGTTTTATCACAGAGCACCACGGAAGAAAATTTAAATTGGAAGTTCACGCCTTTATTCTTACTATTGTCGCTTATTAAGCTTGAGGCAGCGTAGAACCATGACCATTGCACTACGGCTGCAATTAATCAATTTATTCGCATAATATAGTGATTTTTGAATTTTTTGCTTTATCTGATATAACTTTTTTTATCAATGAAGTCTTTGCGGTAATGGTGTAGCGGTAGAGCGCTCGCCTCATAAGCGAGAAGTTCGGAGTTCGATCCCCAACACGTCCCTGGTAGTACCGCGCTCAACTTGTTTCCTCGCGCAGCGGCCTTGTTCGTGTTTCGGAGTTAAAGAGAGTAAGAGAAGGTTGCAATTACAAAAGTAACCTCCTCAAATGTAGTGTCATTCTCGGCTTAGGGGAGGCTAATAATTAAAAAAAAAAGTCTTGGGTATATGGGTATATGGGTATATATATGATAATTTGGGTATATTGGGTATATGGGTATATGGGTATATATATGATAATTTAAGCAATATGGGCAGCTGGATTAAGCATATTCTAGTTCGAACGTTTGAACTTTACACCAATTTTTAATCTCCACATTAAAATTTTTTTATTTTTAAAGTTTAAAAAAACAAAAAGATCATTATTACACTTGAAATCTTCGTGAAATTCTTTACTCAATCAAAAATCTTCGTGATCAATGAAATTCTTTACTCAATCAAAAATCTTTGTAGCAATGAAATTCTTTACTCAATCAAAAATAACTCTAATGTCAAATTTAGCCATAATTTCATGAGCGCACATTAGTTAAAAAAATAAAATTGAATATTCATCGTAACGAATGATTTTTTATATCTTGGAATTTTAAGAAGCATTCTTGCACTATGTCACCAGATAAAGATAATGAAACAATTACTAAAAAACTTGATTCCTTTTGGTTTTAATGTAGATAAGGATACTATTGATAAGGTACCATTGTTACTAATGGAGCCAGCATGATGAAAAAATTAACTAAGACATTAAACTTAACCATTATGCCTTACAATTGTCTATGTATAATATTGTCAATCAAACTGATACCGTTAAAGTTGTTCATCATTTTGATGACGACGATAATAACGAGGAAGAAGGTGAAAATCTATCAAAATGTTCAAACATCTAACGAATGTTTAGTACAACCGTTAACTGAATTTCAACAACCTGTATCTGAAAAAGATTTCCTAGATTTTGTTTAATACAAAATTTTTTTAAATATTAAAACATTAGGCAAATAAAAGAGAAGGAAAAAAAAGCCTTAATATTTGACTTAAAAATGAAATGATAAGTTCTATTTCTGGAAGCGAGCTTTGATCGGCAAAAATATGAAAGTCTAAAGATGAACCTAATAAAGTTAATAACCTTTGTGTTTTCCTAAAACCACTCAGACTAGCAGTTGAAGCACTTTTCAAACGAGATATTCATTTATTCAGACTTGTGAGATTATAAGTTAATTCATCAGTAAAAAGTTAAATGAAACAAGCATACCAATCAAAACAGCAGTTGAGAAAAAGAACTGATGAAGGCGAAACGTTTAATACGACTAATAAAATATTTTTCACATGTTTAAAATCAAGATGATCAGTTTGAGAATAAAATAAAAAGAAATAATATAACAAATCTTAAAACTAAAAATTTCTAATCATTTCAGCCTGATTAGTGACATAAGATTTGAGTATTAATAACGGCGATGTCTATTTATATCAGAAATAACAAAATTAAATTGTTAGCTCAACAACGTAGTGAGCGAATCAAAAACAAAAAAATTTAGATTGTAAAATATAAATGCAACGACAAACACTGCATATATGAGGCACAAATATTGCATACATTTATGTTATTTAAAATATGCAACAATATATTAAAATTTAAAAATATTCCTTTAAAATTTAACCAAATGATAACTTTAAATACCCGTATAATTTTAAAAATATTCATTTAAAATTTAAGCTAATAATAACTTTAAATATCCGCATAATATTTTTCAAAAAAAATGTCAATGTAATAACTACTTGAAAACATTTTAATACTTCATTGAGAGTTCCATCAGAAGTTTTTGACTTGATTTAGTGACAATTTGTTTTGTTTACTTTTTTGTATGTATGTAACAGTAAGTAACAAAATTTTCACCATGTTAGAACAAAAAAGCATTTTATATTTTTTTTTTATTGAAAAGCTGCAAAGAAAAATAAGAGTCAAAAACTGCAAAGGATGTTTATTTAATGAATAACAGCTATGGGACTCATTCTTCAAGTTCAGTCAGTCAATCGAGAGCTCAAAAGAATTAGTTTTCAACCCAGAAAGAAGATTAAAAACTAAGTTGTTCACTGGCCAGCACAAAGCCCTGCTCTAACCCACCTAAAAATTTATGGGCAATAGTTAAACAAAAGGTCTACAACTTTCCCACTCCATCTAAGAATAAGGATGAACTTTGAGCTAATATGCAAAGTTTGGTATTCAACTATACCCAAGAAATGCTGAAAATTAGTTGCTAGTGTTCCTAAAAGAATTCAGACTGTAATTAATTCTAAAGGGAGGATACAATACGTTATTTGTTTTCATTCCCGACAAAATTGTCATTATTAGCTTTTCACATAAAAACTTAAAATAATTCAACATTTCCATAAAAAACCAATATTTTCAGTTAGCTAAGTCATAAATCTAATTTATAAGTAAAACTTCATTTTTCTTTGTAACTTTTACTTCACATATATATGTATGTATATATGTAATATAAATTGAATGTTAATGTATGAAATATATAAATGTAAATTTATTTAAGTATTTATATCGTTAATTAAGTATAATTCAAAGGCATCCCAAATGAAAAAGATCCACATAACACCCCCAAAAAAATTAATATATCCCAATAAAAAGATCCACATAGCACACCTAAAAAATTATTTACACTAATTTTTATATTACAAAAGCTGAAAAAATGCCATATGTCTAATAGTTTTTTGTACCAAATATGTCTAATAGTTTTTTGTATATTTTAAAAATTAACTAAACAATATCATCACAACAAACTGCATACACACAAACACAAATATTATAAAAATTGCCTTAACAAATCCGTAATAACAAGCATAACAAACATACTTAAATATCATGCATAAATGTCTTAAAGTAAGTAAGTAAAAATAACTTTATAAATATCGTAAAAAGTAAAAATAATTTTATAAATATCATAAAAAGAAAAATATCTTCATAAATACCATAAAAATAACAAATAAATTTATAAATACCTAAAAATTATACGGTTTGTAATAATAATAAGTTCGTAATAATAAATAAATTTAGGTTTTACAAATTTTACAAAAAAATTTTCCCCTATTCCAATGTAAAATATTATTTTTAAACACCTAGAGACTTTTTGAGCATATGGTTTTATTGTCTAGGGAATATCAGAGCAAGGTGGCTATATATAAGACATATTTTTGTGATTAGAGCCTCTGGATGGTAGCAGCAATTTATTGCAACATCTGAGTTGAAATGGTAAATTTTTCTTTATAAATAAACCTTTCATAAATTCAGGTTTTAAACCAATAAAAAAAAAAGGCTTCAATCATTAGAAGCTGCAAGTTTCAAAGATGAGAAAAATCTTAATTTTTCAATTTAAATATCAATAAATTATAATCTATTAATAAATTATCTCTTTTATGCAAGCATTTCTGACTTTTTTCAGTAAAATAAAAACCTCAAAAACATAAAAAAAAAAATTTTCCTACTAGAAAAAGATTTTTACACATTAATTTTAGGATCCATACACATAGATTATTTTTGTTTAGTATGTTTTCTCTTTTTAAAAAATATTTTATCAAACTTCTTAATTAAACAGAGCAGGTTTTTAATGCGGGGTTATATAGTTGTTAATGTATATCAATTGTATTATATAAATTTGCCCAACCACATTTAGACAACTTTTTATAAAGAAATTTAATTTTTTCATACAATCATTTGAGTTTAGGATATTAAATTAATTCTTATTTTATTAAAAATTGAATGTGACAATATTTGCAAAAATAAACAGACGAAAGTATTATTTGATTTATTCGATTAATATAAAAGCAGACTCAAGGCTGGGGGGCCATTAAAAGGCTGGGGGGGGCATTAAAATATAACAATTTACAGTTAAACTCATTTGAATGTGTAAGGGGTCTCAAAATAAGTTCAAACTACAAGAAGATGGACATCATGTTTTATGAAACACTTTATTATATTGTTTTGTTTCAGTCAAGGATTGTTAATTTTTGAACATTCTCTCATAACCTTTATTTTTGATAACACTTCTTTTTGAAACTTATAAATTTCAAATTAAAAACTTGTCTAGTAAGTTTGTAATATTAACTTTATGCAGCTAAAAGATGAGTGTTTAAAAACAAAGTTTGTGAGGAAACATTCAAAAATAAAGAATCCTTGACTGAAATGGAACAATATATAAAGTGTTTTATGAAACATGGTATCCAACTTCTTGTAATTTTAACATATTTTGAGACCCCTTCCTCCCCTGAGACCTCTTCAGCATTCCAATTACACGAGTTCAACAGTAAACTGTTATATTTTAATGGCACCCCAGCCTTGAGTCTACTTTTAGATTGTCTGCCATGGAAAGTGAGACAATTAAAACAATTGAACTTAATTTTAGATATTTTATGAACACTCTGACACAAAAAAACAATTGAGTTTTTATTTTAAAACATATTTTTTAAAACAAATATTGCTTACCTGCCCCCTTAACACAGCCATTTGTTTTTCAAAGTTTCCTTTGTCAAAACCTTTATCTTCCTAATCACAATTAAAATATAAACATTAAAAATCTGAATTTTCAACAAGCTTCTCTAAAAAAAATATATCTTAAAAGTATGAAGACATACTAAATAATTTTTCTTTTTCTTTAAGGATTTATCAAAATAAAACCTACTGAAAATAGTTCATAAAGGTCATCAATGATAGTTTGAACAAAACACATATCAGTAAGACGAGGCAATAATAAATCCTTTATCTCATCTGAAAAAGGAACTTTTGCATATGGAAGCCATGCCCAATGATAGGGATCTAAAAAATGGAATTCATATCTTTGAGAGTGCATATATAAATTTATTTAAATAAAAGATAAAATATTGCATATGATGATGTACTGCTAACAAACTAAAAAACTCAACTTTAGAATTAAGCATAATCCAATTCATTACAATCAAATGGGATATTTATTAATTATATTAATCATTCGACTACTTTTATGAAAAGCTGTAGTTAAAAAACATGTTTTTATTGGATTTTACAACTTTGTGTGTTGCAATGAACTTAATGTGGTGTGATGAGATAGTGATATGTTGTTATAGTTTTAAGTGTGATAAACATAAATTTATTAAATTAAACTAGTTTAAAAAGTTCGATACACAATCTCCAAGAGTCTGGATGTTTTATTGGAAACGCTAAACCATTGTCAATAGCAGCTATGCGAATTTTCGGGTTCCCAACTAAATTCCACTGGTCAGTTTTTTCACAAATTTCACATTTCTAAATAAAAAATCATTAATAATTGATTTAAAAAATTGTATACATATATTTTGTAAAAAAAAGTGTTTTGTCCAGCAAAACGGTGGAGAAAAAACTTGAAAAGTTGAGGGTTGTATGAGTCAGGAAAAGATGAAGATGGGAGAGGGAAAAATTAAAAGAACACACAACAGTATTTTGTTTTGACAACTTGGCCACAGAACCTTGCATGTTATAATAATTTGCGTGTTTTAAAAATGTACTCAAAAAACCAAAAAAAAACTTTGGTGAAAATTAAAAATAAACAAACCCATAAACAGAAATGAAAAAATGTTAACAAATAATAAAATAATTAAAAGATAAACCAGTAAAAAAAACAAAATATTAATTTTTTTAAATTTAGAAGTGACTTAATAGTTACAACCTAATAATTAATATAATAGCGCATCAATTATTACTTTAAACTCATTAATTTTTTTCTATATCACTATGTTAGTGTAGCGTTTAGGTTGATTTAATGATATAATTATGAGGCACAAATGTTAGTTCATCAATGGATGAGAGTTTAAATATTTTTAACAGATAATTTGTTTATGCTTTATTTACTTAGTAGGCATTACTAAGTATTAAAATTTCAAATTTTTTAATGATTAAAATTTGAAAGAATTAAGTTTAGATTAAATAACTTCGATCTTTTCTAAATTTTATGAAGTGAAACACTTTAAAATGAAAGTAAAGACATTAATTTTATGTTTTTATTTTTTTCCTTGTCTATATTTTATTTATTTTATTATTCATTAAGATTTTAATTTTTTTTTTTAATTTAGCTTTGTAGTTGTTTTTTTTAGTTTTTAGTTTTTTTTAAATTTATGGTTTGCTTTTTTCTAATCTTAGTAAAAGTTTACATTTGTTTATTTTTTTATTTGTTTATTTGGCACATTTTTTTAGCTTAATTTCAAAACTTGCAAAGAGCTGTGGCTGAGTTGTCAAAACATTAAAAGTTTACATTTGTTTATTTGGCACATTTTTTTAGCTTAATTTCAAAACTTGCAAAGAGCTGTGGCTGAGTTGTCAAAACATTAAAAGTTTACATTTGTTTATTTGGCACATTTTTTTAGCTTAATTTCAAAACTTGCAAAGAGCTGTGGCTGAGTTGTCAAAACATTAAAAGTTTACATTTGTTTATTTGGCACATTTTTTTAGCTTAATTTCAAAACTTGCAAAGAGCTGTGGCTGAGTTGTTAAAACAAAATAATATAATATTTAGTTTGAAAACTTGGTGTGGTCATATAAGGCATCATATATTATCTATTCTAGGTAATCTTGAGAGATGATAGCTCATTTGAGCAGTGACCATGACCTAGAAAAAAAAAAAAAGAGATGCAATATTATGATGATGGGAGATCTTGGCATATAGAGCAAGTCCAACTACATTTACAATGCGTTTTTTGACCTTGTCTAAAAGAAAAATGAGCAATATTAAAAGAACCAGCCCAAATTGTTTTGCTGAAAAAGTTGCAATCACTTGCAAGCTGTTATAAAAAAGAGATCGAACTCAAGATCAATTCATGCCTGCTTTAAGCGATCAAAAAGTGTAAACTTCATTTCAAGACAATAGAGTGATTTTAGATGTAAGATTGTCAGAAAGATCATTAATGTAGCTAAGAAAAATACAGTACAATATAAAATAACAATACGAAAATACGAAAAACAATAAGAAAAACACCAAAAAAAAAACCACCCTAAGGTACCCCAGAAGTTACTGGAAATGAAAGAGATTGTTAGCCTTTACAGATGATTTGATCATTGCGGATAAAAGAAATAATTTAATAATCTCAAAAATTTTCAGTTACACCGTTTGAAACAAGCTTATGGAGAAGATCAAAATGCCATTTTGATCTTCTCCATAATTATTTATTAAATTGGTTAGAGAGAAATGAAGAGAGTTCTGGAGAACAATTTTAAAAGACTATGGCAATAATGTTACTGGACTACAAGCTGTAAAGTTATTTATTTGAGAAATGACTTTAGCAATGAAAGCCAAAGACCGGAGTTGAAATTTAACTGGAGCTAGATTTGGGTTGATAAAAAACTGGGGCCGAGGCTGGGTTTGCGACCTGGGCTGCCAAAATATGAATACATCCTAAAAAAAATTTTTATTTGAAATTCATGTTATGCTTTGCATATATTTTTGTATATATGTATATTTATAAATGAACATCATTATAATAAACACTTTGATCATCACCAACATCATTATCATCAAGCATTAGCCTTTTATGTTGTTTCTTTAATATAAACTCGAGCATCTTCTTTTTGTAACTAAAGCTTATTCATACCATTTGTAACGTATTCTCTACAAGTTTTCTTATTTCTACCTCTACTATTTTCTTCTGAAGCTGCTATCTATCTACATGCTGATACCCAAATCACTTTAATCTTCTCTGAAAAACATTGTTCAATACAATGTTTTTTCTAATCTCTGAGTCATACCACACATCTATCTGATAATCATCTACTATTTCGGCTAATACTACACAACATGAATACTAAAGTTTATATATATATATATATATATATATATATATATATATATATATATATATATATATATATATATATATATATATATATATATATATATATATATATATGTATGTATATATATACATATGTATATATATATATATACATATATATATATATATATATATATATATATATATATATATATATATATATATATATATATATATATATATATATATATATATATAGATATAGATATATATATATATATATATATATATATATATATATATATATATATATATATATAGATATAGATATATATATATATATATATATATATATATATATATATATATATATATATATATATATATATATATATATATATATATATATATATATATATATATATATATATATATATATATATATATATATATATATATATATATATAGATATATATATATATATATATATAGATATATATATATAAGTTTAAATCCATATTTATCCATATTAAGTAGCAAAAATGTGCATTTAACCTCCTAGATCCAAGAAGGAATGTAAACTTTTGTTTCTTTTTGTAGGTTTTAAGGCAAGCCTCTTCCTACTCTAAGTTTTTCTTGTGCAGCTGCTGTATTACACCATAACCTTTTTTTCATCTTTTTTACAAGAACATCTCTTTTGAGAACAAATGTCTTTTTATTATTGCAATAAGTCAATGTAAAAGACAATCTTAAATCTTATCTCAGATGTTAGGTTCTAGAGACTTGTAGAAAATCTTCAACAGTGTCATTAACTAAAGTATTCCTGTAATTTGACTATTGAATCTAATGGTCATATTCTTCCTGCAATTCTAGTTAAACAGATTAACCCATTGTTAGGCATTCAAGTCACTTTGGCTTCCTATGCTAAAGTCAATTCTCAATTAAACTCTTTTAGGACTTGTGGCTTGTGGCTTATACAACGTTTCCATTATAATCTTAATAGAGTGTTCTACAGAATACTCTTCAATTCTTGCTAAACATTTAATAAGTGCTAAAAATAATTGGTTCCAATTTTAAAAAACTCTAAAAAGCACTCTTTCCAACTATCCCACGATTAGTCTTCTCTCTATTATTAGTTTTTTTATATAAAAATTTTAAGATTATTAAATCATTTCTTTCTAACCACAGTATTTAAATCATTTTTAAAGGCCTCTAGTCCTCTTCATTTTCATTAACTTAACGGTAACTAAGGGTTACCGGAAAAAAAGAAGAGCAACTTTAAGGGAAATGAGAATGTTTACAACAATGCACAGTGGACCAAAATTTTTTTTTGTGGCCAAAACTCCCAGAAAAGTTAAATCTTGTGAACTTTTTTTTTATTTTATTATTGAAACATAAGTGCTTTACTCTACTTAAAAATGTATCTGCTTAATTACTAGAAATGAACACAAGCTTACTAGAACCATTCATAATGGCTTTAAAATTGTCAAATTTTTGCAAATTTTTTTTCAAAAATACTTATCCTCAAAGTCTATAACTTTTTTCAATTAAAAAAGCTTTGGACTACTTTGATTTTAAATAAACATATTAACTTAGTGCTTATAAAAAATATATGTTTTAGTTATACATTTGTATTTAATTTATTTATAATATGTCTAAGATTGTTGGTATTTTAAAGGTGTTTTTCTAAATTTCTTCATCTTCCTTTTTTAAATGCCATTCAAAAATTGTTTTATTATTTTATTAGTTATTATTAAAAAAGAACACAGCTGCGACCATGTATTCTTTATGATATATTTTTTTCAGTTTAAAATTGATGACTTTTTTTGCTTTTATAAAAAGACTGTTTAAAGTTAAGATATGTGTTAAAGAAATATAGTTTTTTTTTTTTTTTTTTTAATTTTATTAAACACATCGAACCCTTATTGTTTAAAATAAACTTTTTTTTATTATTGTAATGTTTTCAAAAATGGGAGACAAAAAGAAAATCATTTCACTATAAATTCATAAAAATCAAATATTTAAGTATTCGATTCCAACCAAATGCTGCTCTTATGAAATTGGAATTAATGATATTTAGGAAGTATAAAGGTTGTTTAATAATATTAAATAAAACCAGCTGCGACTAGCTATAATTTAGATTAAAAATCGATTTTGAAATTTTAAGATTTTAGATTAATTTAATTCTTACTTTACAATGCATTGTGACGTGAAAAATTTATTTGTCTGGAAATTTGAAGTTTATATGATATTATATGATTATATGAAGACTAATTAGTTGATAATTACAGTGATTTGATTGACTAATCAGTTGATAACTGCAATTGTGTTCCGAAAGTAATAAAATTATTTGAATAAATTAATTTAAATTGAAGTAACATTATTACAACGCTTACCTTATAAATAAGTTATCTTATAAAAATGTTTAATAACATAACTCAACTTAAAGTATTTGAAAAAATTAAAGACACTATTTCATCACAACTTACGTCTAGACAAATCGT